AACAAGTGTAATATCCACTAAAGCAAAGCTTAAGTATATAACACCAACATATATATCTCAGCCAACTTGTCCAGAGACATCTTCATGAAACGGGTAAGAAATGCGCGACCTTAGTCAATCTGTCAACCACGACCCAGATGGCGTCGTGATGTTCAGACGACCTCATGATACATCTTCGTGCTCCTGGGATGAGCTAAATAGGGTGCGGTGTGAGCCTCTGATAAAATCTCCTTCCGCAACGCCTCGACTTTCGGGACCACGATCCTGCCTCTGAACTCTAGGGCACCATCGGCACCTAGCTGAAAACCCTCGACGCCTCCGGCGTGAACCTTGGCCTCCATGACATGAACAAACTCGTCAGAAGCCTGTTCTCGCCGGATTCTCTCTCTCAGCGTCGGCTGAAGCTGCATGACACTGATACTGGCACTGCCACTCCCCGAGACTGCGGTGGGAAGTGCATCGATTGCCTGAAGCTGCATCCGGGCAAATTCCTGAATCAAAGGACTCTGCTAAGTAATGACGTACGTCAAGTCACCCCTCACCTTTCGGCTTAGGGCATCAGCAACGACGTTCGCCTTTCCTGGATGATACTGAATAGAGCAGTCGTAATCCTTGACGAGCTCTAACCAACGGCGCTGTCTCATGTTGAGCTCCTTCTGAGTAAAGATATACTGCAAGCTTTTATGATCTGTGAAAATCTCACAATGACCGTCGTAAAGATAGTTTCGCCAAATCTTGAGAGCATGAACAACTGCGGCTAACTCCAAGTCGTGCGTCGGATAGTTCTGCTCATGAGGCTTAAGCTGACGTGAAGCATACGCGACGACCTGGCCATCCTGCATAAGGACTCATCCCAAGCCCTGTCTCGAAGCATCACTAAAGATGGTAAAACTCCGAGAAGAATCGGGAATAGTCAACACCGGTGCTGAAGTTAATCTCCTCTTGAGCTTCTGAAAGCTCGACTCACATCGATCAGTCCACTCGAACTTCACAGACTTCCTCGTCAGCTGGGATAGAGGGAGGGCAATCTTGGAAAAGCCCTCGATGAACCTGCGATAGTAACCAGCTAGACCGAGAAAACTGCAAACCTCGGACGGACTCCTCGGTGTCGACCAGTTCTGAACAGCTGAGACCTTAGAAGGATCCACCTCGATACCTGCCTGAGTAATCACATGACCCAGAAAAGATACTCGTTGGAGCCAGAACTCGCATTTGGAGAATTTTGCAAACAACTTTTCTCGTCTGAGGGTTTCGAGAACTACCCTCAGATGCTCCTCGTGCTCCTTTTGGCTCTTCGAGTAAATAAGAATATCGTCAATAAAGATAGTAACGAACTGATCGAGGTAGGGATGGAAAATATGGTTCATGAGGTCCATGAAAACTGCTGGAGCATTGCTTAGACCGAATGGCATGACGACGAACTCATAATAGCCGCAACGAGTCCTGAAAGCAGTCTTAGCGATATCTGACTCTTTAATCTTCAGCTGATTGTAGCCTGATTGTAAATCAATCTTTGAGAATACACAGGCTCCCCTCAACTGATCAAATAAGTCGTCGATCCTGGGAAGCGGATACTTGTTCTTGATCGTCAACCGGTTAAGATCCCGGTTATCGATACACATGCGCATGGATCCGTCCTTCTTCTTGAGAAAGAGAATGGGTGCTCCCCAAGGTGACACGCTCAGTCGGATGAAACCGAGTCGTAACAGCTCCTGAATCTGAATCTTAAGCTCCTGCAACTCCTTTGGCGCCATACGGTACGGGGCTTTGGATACTGGACCGGCTCCTGGAATGAGATCGATAGAGAACTCCACCTGCCGGTTAGGCGGTCCTCCTAGAAGCTCGTCTGGGATCACGTCCACAAACTCACGAATGACTGGAAAATCGTGGGGTGAGCATGCTTTCTGAGAATCGTCGACAAGGCTCACTAGATAACCCTGGCAGTTGTCTCGTCGCAGCAACTTAGTTGCTTTCGCCATCGAAACGACATGAGGCAATGAACGATTCCTGGAGCCAAAGAAAGTGATCGATTCGTCTCCCGGAAGATAGAGAGTGATCTCACGGTCATGACACCTGATATCTGCATGATAAAAGGATAGCCAATCCATTCCGAGAATAAGGTCAAAGTCCCTGATCTCGAGAACAAACGCGTCGGTTGACAATACTCGGCCACCGATGGAAAGGCTAAGATCTGAAGCTTTAGCTGAAGTCACTATCTTTCGTCCCGAGGCTAAACTCACCTCGAGAGGATCGATAGCGGTAACGGCA